GCGTATCTACCACTCCTCCCAGTTTAGTATCATCCGCAAATTTGCTGAGAGTGCAATCCACACCATCCTCCAGATCATTTATGAAGATATTGAACAAAACCGGCCCCAGGACTGACCCTTGGGGCACTCCACTTGATACCGGCTGCCAACTAGACATGGAGCCATTGATCACTACCCGTTGAGCCCGACAATCTAGCCAGCTTTCTACCCACCTTGTAGTGCATTCATCCAGCCCATACTTCCTTAACTTGCTGACAAGAATACTGTGGGAGACCGTGTCAAAAGCTTTGCTAAAATCAAGAAACAATACATCCACTGCTTTCCCTTCATCCACAGAACCAGTAATCTCATCATAGAAGGCGATTAGATTAGTCAGGCATGACCTTCCCTTGGTGAATCCATGCTGGCTGTTCCTGATCACTTTCCTCTCATGCAAGTGCTTCAGGATTGATTCTTTGAGGACCTGCTCCATGATTTTTCCAGGGACTGAAGTGAGGCTGACTGGCCTGTAGTTCCCAGGATCCTCCTTCTTCCCTTTTTTAAAGATTGGCACTACATTAGCCTTTTTCCAGTCATCCGGGACTTCCCCGGTTCGCCACGAGTTTTCAAAGATAATGGCCAATGGCTCTGCAATCACAGCCGCCAGTTCCTTCAGCACTCTCGGATGCAACTCGTCTGGCCCCATGGACTTGTGCACGTCCAGCTTTTCTAAATAGTCCCTAACCACCTCTATCTCCACAGAGGGCTGTCCATCTCTTCCCCATTTTGTGATGCCCAGCGTAGCAGTCTGGGAGCTGACCTTGTTAGTGAAAACAGAGGCAAAAAAAGCATTGAGTACATTAGCTTTTTCCACATCCTCTGTCACTAGTTTGCCTCCCTCATTCAGTAAGGGGCCCACACATTCCTTGGCTTTCTTCTTGTTGCCAACATACCTGAAGAAACCCTTCTTGTTACTCTTGACATCTCTGGCTAGCTGCAGCTCCAGGTGCGATTTGGCCCTCCTGATAACATTCCTACATGCCCGAGCAATATTTTTATACTCTTCCCTGGTCATATGTCCAACCTTCCACTTCTTGTAAGCTTCTTTTTTATGTTTAAGATCCGCTAAGATTTCACCATTAAGCCAAGCTGGTCGCCTGCCATATTTACTATTCTTTTGACTCATTGGGATGGTTTGTCCCTGTAACCTCAACAGGGATTCCTTGAAATACAGCCAGCTCTCCTGGACTCCTTTCCCCTTCAAGTTAGTCCCCCAGGGGATCCTGGCCATCCGTTCCCTGAGGGAGTCGAAGTCTGCTTTCCTGAAGTCCAGGGTCCGTATCGTGCTGCTTACCTTTCTTCCCTGTGTCAGGATCCTGAACTCAACCAACTCATGGTCACTGCCTCCCAGATTCCCATCCACTTTTGCTTCCCCCACTAATTCTACCCGGTTTGTGAGCAGCAGGTCAAGAAAAGCGCCCCCCCTAGTTGGCTCCTCTAGCACTTGCGCCAGGAAATTGTCCCCTACGTTTCCCTCAGGGCTGGGAAAAATGTCACACCCTCTGTGATGTAATTAGACCAACCTAAGCTCTGGTGCAGACACCACTAGGTGGATGGAAGAATGATTCTGTCAGCATAGCTTCCTCCTCTCAGGAAGGTGCATTAACTGCGTTGCCGGGAGACCCCCTCCCATCGCCATAGGGAGCGTCTACACTACAGGGGCGCAGCTGCAGTGTTTCTAGTGTAGACATACCCTGACATCGTGTATTGGGGGCATGGTCAACTCAACAGTCCCAGCTATTAATCTCCCAGCTTTGTTGAGGTCCAGAGCTTTCAATCACAACAGTCCCCAGTCACCCATACCCTCTCTCACCAATCCACATTGCTTTCTCATCCTCCCAGAGTCTATGGCTCTCCTCCAACCAGTCCCCCAGGGCCTGCGCTGATCTGCTACTATCCTGTTCAGTTTTGCAGACTCAATTCCACTAGGTCAGCTACTGCCTAGTCTGGCCCCACAAAGTCAGCTCCACCACTGCCAGGCAAGGTCAGCTCTAGCCAGGGTTGAGAATCTCCAGGTGGGTGTGAGGAGGCGTGTGTCCCACACTGGCATCAAAAGAATTAATTGGAGCCACAGAGCAATTAGTGCACCTGATTCCAGGTGGGGAGGAGCTGGATGGCTGAATTAAGGGTACATCACAGCCTGGCAGAACGTAAGTGGCCTTGGGATACTCCCCTGAGATGGGAGTTCTGGCAAAGGGCTAGGCAAGTGAAGCGTGGGTGGAGTGAACTCCTGTGATGAACCTTGACACAAAGGCAAGACCCCCTGGGAGGCAGCCTGGCGATGGGGATTCTGGAGGACAGAGACATGGAGAGCCTGTGGGAAAGGCTGCTGGGGAGCTGAAGATGGAGGCCCACCTCCAGGGAGAAAGTTCTGGGAGGGGTCACTTGGTACAAGAGTAGAAAAGCACTCTGCAGAGCTGTGGGAAAGGGGGGAAGAGTTTGCAGATAAGTGAGCCCAGGGAGGGGCTTGGGGAAAGAGCCGAGAGATAATTGTTTATCATCTCCACCTAGTAACAGATTGATACCACTGCTGGGATTTGTATCATGCCTGTTATAGCTTTACAAATTCCTTCTTGTTCTTAACCCAGCTGACTGCAGGGCTTTTTCCACTGATACCTTTAGCTTCCCTTATCAATTACCTGCATTTCATAATGTCTCATTTATATTCATTGCTGTCAACCACCCCATTTTACATTTGTTATTGATTGATTTTTAATTTTGTCAGTAACTGCTTTCATGACATCCATTTAATAAGGTTGGGGGGGGGGTTGGACCAAAGTAACCTTTTTCATAACTAAACTGCTTGTTGGGCACCTAGTACAGTGCTCATAACAACTCACTTGGGATGTTTATTAGAAAGTTATTTGTGTCTTTCTCGAATAGCAATATAGAAACCTTAGGGCAGGGGTGGCCAACCTGTGGCTCCGGAGCCACATGCGGCTCTTCAGAAGTTAACATGCGGCTCCTTGTATAGGCACCAACTCCAGGGCTGGAGCTACAGGCGCCAAATTTCCAATGTGCTGGGGAGTGCTCACTGCTCAACCTCTGGCTCTGCCACAGGCCCTGCCCCTACTCCCCCCATTCCTGCCCCCTCCCTGAGTTGGCCGTGCCCTTGCTCCTCCCTCATCTCCCCCCCCAGAGCCTCCTGCATGCCATGAAACAGCTGATCAGGAGGTGCGGGGAGGGAGGAGGAGGTGCTGATCAGTGGGGCTGCCCGGTGAGTGGGAGGCACTGGGAACAGGTGGCGGGGGAGCTGATGGGGGGCTGCTGACATATTACTGTGGCTCTTTAGCAATGTACATTGGTAAATTCTGGCTCTTTCTCAAGCTCAAGTTGGCCACCCCTGCCTTAGGATGTCTCCCCCACTTGGCGCTTTATGCCAAGGTTCAGAGTCACTGGGCCAGATCCAGAAGAAAAGGGTCTTTAATGCCAGCTTTGCCATCAAGATTCTTCAGGTTGGGGGGTGAAAAGACCCCTGCCTGCTCTAACTTACAGCGGCTGGTTCTAGGCTACCTATAGGCTGCAGTGAAACCTAAAGTCCCTGTGTGTTACTTGGTTCGTGGGAATGTACCTGGACAGTGAATTCCAGGCAGTGACCGAGGTTCTAGTCAAAGTAGAAGCAAAATTTGCTGTGTGTTGAAATGAAATGATCTCCTCGTGAGAATGACAGTAGCATATGAAAAGGCAGGTCCCCGATAAGGGGATAGACACGAGCTCATGTCATGTGGCAACAGCCAGCTACATTAGCTACACCAGGATCATTTGTTTGGTTATATGAAAAATATAAACCTTCTGGCTACTGGACACAAACCTGCCTGGGGCCAGGAATAAACCTGGCCTGGAGAATCACACTGGACCACTAGAGGGGGCTCTTGCATCTTCTGCCGAGCCCCTGGCATTGGCCACTGTCAGAGGCCCCATCCTGAGCGGATGGACCCGTGGCGCTACTCCGTCCAGCAGTCCTCATGCTCCCAGGACTCAGGCCTGTGCGACACAGTGTTTGCACAACTGGGGCGGGTGTGTGTGTGTGATTTTTGTACGAGTTATACCAGTACGACTCCTCGTGTGGACACAGTGCTGCTGGTGATACTTATAGCCATACTTAACTGTTCAGTGCCCACCTGCTGAGCTCCCCCAGAAACCCACCATGCAACCCCCAGCACCAGGAACCTCCATCCACCCCATGCCCTCCACGTACCGTCCAGCATACACCCACTCAGATACCACCGCGGGCATCACCTGGCTAACTCCATCCCGCTTAGTGTCCTTCAGCCAGCCCAGGACCCCAACGGGCTGAGGGCCTCAGTGACTCATCAGGGGTGTCACCCATGGAGTTGTCAGGTCTGGCCTCACACTGCAGAAAAGCTAGAATTCCGCCCGCAAGCTGGATTCCAGGCCAGCAGCTAGCTGGAAGGGACATATTGCTTGGCCCCTCTGTTTTGCCCCTGCAGGGTGTTGGAGAAATGAGCCCTTGCCTAGGTTCAAGCCAGCCCCTTTTGCTCTGGCATCAGTGTGACAGGTGCCCCTGCCTGGATGCTACATAGCAGGGCAGAGCCCTGGTGCACAGGTGAGCTCTGAATTCCTTACAATTCAGATCAGCCAAGAGTTGGCTCTGCACTCAGCTGGGGGCTCATCCGGGCCAATAAGCGGGAGCAGCTCATAGTTAGATTTGTCCTCACACACCCACATGGGGCAAGCCAGGCTGGGGTCCCCACTGAGCAGGTGGGAATTGAGGCCCAGAGAGGCTAAGTGACTTGCTCAGGGTCACACAGAGTCTGTGGCAGATGGGGACTCAAACCAGGTCTACATGCGAGGCTAGTGCGCTAACCATTGGGCCATACTTCCCTGTCCTCCGTGCCTCCCCCCCCCCCCGACACTGCACTCACCCTCCAGTCGCCCACAGGAGTGACACTGCAGTGGGCAGGGAGTGGGCGTCGTGGGCACAGGGTATAGACAAATACAGAGATGGGCTGGGGAGGGCAGAAGCCTGCCCATGTCATCTGCCCACTGGGGAGTGACACCCAAGACCTCCTGGCACAGACAAACTCCGGCAATGCTCTTACCAGCAGTAGAAACTGGCTGAGTGTCGGGAGAGCCTGAGCCCCCAGGTGCATGTCAGGGGCGGGCCCAGCCCCTTCCTCCACATGCCCCCACTTACTCCCACCCTGGTGCTGTGACCCTTGTGGTGCTGTGCAAGCCATGCCAGCCTTGGGGAGTGGCTCCTCCGCCTGGGCGCCAAGGTGCGGGAGGGCACGTCCGTGGGCGAGGCAGACTGGCTCCCCCGCCTGTTGCAGCCCCCACTGCCACCTCTTCCAAGAGGCCCAGAGGCCAGTGACACTCCCGAGCTGAAGAAGCAGCTCTGGCTTGAACCATTCTCTGGCCCCAGCCCGGAGTGTTACTCTGGAGCCAGGCCCTGGGCCCAGCCCCTTCTTCCGAGCGGCTCCAACATCCGAGGTCATAAGGCTGCCCAATTCCGGGCTATTTCTGTCCTGGGCGGGGGAGGGAGCCCTTGGCCTGGCTGTTACTGGAGCCCGGGGGGGGGGACTGCCCTCCCAGCAGTGCCATAACTGGCTGCCTCCAGCTGTCCGTCTGCCCCGGAGTGGGTGCTGATTGGGCTGGGGGGGTATAAAAGGGGCACACAGGGCCATAGGGAGGTGCTGTTGCAGCTGCCACAGAGCTGGGCTCTCCAGGCACTCTGCCTTTCCTGCCCCGAAGATGCCGACCCACCGGCTAGTGATCGTGCGCCACGGCGAAAGCACCTGGAACCAGGAGAACCGCTTCTGTGGCTGGTTCGACGCTGACCTGAGCGAGAAGGGGGTGGAGGAGGCGCGGCGTGGGGCCCAGGCCCTCCGGGAGGCGGGCTACGAGTTCGATGTCTGCTACACCTCGGTGCTCAAGAGGGCCATCCGCACCCTCTGGGCCATCCTGGACGGCATTGACCAGATGTGGCTGCCTGTGGTGCGCACCTGGCACCTCAACGAGCGCCACTATGGGGGCCTGACTGGCCTCAACAAGGCCGAGACCGCCGCCCAGCACGGCGAGGAGCAGGTGAAGATCTGGCGGCGCTCCTACGACATTCCCCCGCCTCCCATGGAGGAGCAGCACCAATACTACCAGCTCATCAGCAAGGTGAGTGCCGGCCAGGCACCCCGGGGAGGGGCAACCAGGCGCCTGGGTTGGAGGGGAGGGCACTAGGGGGTGCTACTGGGCACTCAGCGAAGGAGGGGTGGGGGTGCTAGTCGGGTTCCCTGGGGGCTGGGTGGGACAGGGGAGGCCAGCTGGGGTGTGTGAGCTGGGCGAGTACCAGATGAGGGGGCAGCGAGTTCCAGCCTGATGTCTTGCTCAGCATCCTGGGGGGAAGATGGGGAGGATGCCCAGCCTGGTACCCCGGGGAGGGCTAGGGCATGCCCAGCCAGCTGCACTGGGGCAGGGTGGCACCAGGAGAGGCAGACGGAAGCATCCATTTCCCAGCAGGCTGACACCACAGGCAGGGGCAGCAGGTGCTGGGGTTGCTGAGCCAGTGCTCGGCGGGGGGAAACAGGGCTTTTTGCTAAACAAACAAGGATCTGGGGAGCAATGGAGGGGTAGGGACAGGAGGGCACACGCTCGCCCAGCACTGGACCCCAGGCCTCTCCCTCCCAGGACATGGTAGAGCAGGGGTGGGCAAACTTTTTGGCCCGAGGACCACATCAGGGTGCGAAACTATATGGAGGACTGAGTAGGGAAGGCTGTGGCCCCCAACCAGCCTGGCCTCCACCCCCTATTTGCACCGTCCCACTTCCCGTCCCCTAACTGCCCCCTCCTGGGACCCTCCACCCCAAACCACCCCCCCGGGATCCCACCCCCTATCCAACCCCCCTTGCTCCCTGTACCCTGACTACCCCAAGCTATCCACACTCCTGCCCCCTGACAGGCCCCCCGGGACTCCCATGCCCTATCCAACCACCCCTGTTCCCTGATCCCTGACAGCCCCAGAACCTCCGCCCCATCCAACCGCCCCTGCACCCTGTCCCCTGACTGCCCCCTGGGACCTGCTACCCAACCCCTGCACCGCCGCCCCATTACCATGCCACTCAGAGCGGCAATAGCTCGCAGCCACAGGGGCGAGCCTCCCCGGCTGGGAGCTCAGGGGCCAGGCAGGATGGTCTTGAGGGCTGGATGTGGCCCGCGGGCCGTAGTTTGCCCACCTCTGTGGTAGAGACCTGATCACAGTGCAGAGAGATGCCTGAGGCTCTCACCAAGCACTTGGGCTGCTGCAGCTGCTGCCCGACCTCTCCTGGCACAGACACTGGGTCTGTGGTATGAAGCCCTCACCCGGCCGCAGGCATTAACCCACACAGCTTCCTGCGGTGGGCACAGGGCCTTCAGGGTGGGCATCAGCCCCGTGGCTCCTGAGAAAGCTCTCTGGGGAAGCCCCTCAGGGTCCCTGTCTCAGTGCTGGGGGGCATCAGGCTGGGGGCAGTGAGCCCCCCCACCCCTTGGGCAAGATGGTCAGGCTGATTCATTGTTCTCGGGCACAGCTGGCCCATCTAACAGCCCCCCCCCCCCCACACACACCCAGGGTGGGTGATGGCCCCAGCCAGCCTGTCCCTGCACAGTAAATAGTCTGCTCGGGCCATTGTCTGGCTAATTCCTGCTGTGTGGTTGAAGTTGGGGGAGGAGCTGGGATCCCACCCTGCCAGAAGCTACCAGGCCGGATCTGCCTCTGGGAGTGAAGCTGGGGACAGGGCAGTGTGGGCCCCGGGGTGCCAATCTGGGTGGGGCGTTGGGTGCTGTGTGTGGTGGGGGAGGGGAGCTCATATGCTGTGGGAAGGGGCTAGCGAGGCGACCCTTGTAATCCAGCCCCTTCCAGCAACGGGCTCCCCTCTGGGTTCTGGGCTGAGCCCAGCTCTGGTTCTGATTAGCAACTCCGCTGCCTCTGGCTGAGCCCCAGGAAGGCTGGGGGGCAGGAGGCTGGGGGGGGAGCCCCACTCCCCTCCCACGTTAAAATGTTCGTTGTTACCCAGTGTCCAGCCCAATTGTCCCCCCGCACCTGTCCCTGGGCTGGAGAGGGAGTGTTGGGGGCAAGTGGGGCTTGTGTCCCTAGCGCTACCAGGGTGTTTCCCTGCCCCCCAGGAGAGGCGCTACGCAGGCCTGAAGCCTGGGGAACTGCCCACGTGTGAGAGCCTCAAAGACACCATCGCCCGTGCCCTGCCCTTCTGGAATGAGGAGATCGTCCCCCAAATCAAAGCTGGCAAGAGGGTGTTGATCGCCGCCCACGGGAACAGCCTGCGTGGCATCGTCAAGCACCTGGAGGGTACAGCCCCCTGCCCCCCCCGCTAGTCCACCAGCTGGGGGGGCTCCACATTGGGCTTTTCGAGCTGGGGCACAGCCCATGACGGCACACCCTGTGCTCTGCCCGGTGGCTGCCCCGAGAGCCCCTGCTGCAGAGATCCCTAGTGACTGCCCAATGCCCAGGGCTATGCCCTCCTGGCCTTAGAGGCCCCACCCCGGAGAGAGGCCCAGCAGGCCCATGGGGCGGTTGTGAGCTCAGGGCCCTGGAGCAGACAGGCTGGGCCCTGGTGCAGAGCTATTGCTGACGGGTGACCTTTAGCTGGGCCGGGTGCCAGGCCCTGTGCTCTCTCAGCTATGCGCCCTTTGTAAGGTCTCTGGGGCTCGTTCCCTCTAGCCTTGGCGTCTGCTACTGGGGACATGGGGGCGAAACGGGTCCCCATCTGCCTCCTGGAAATTCACTGCCTGTCGCCTTGCTCTGGGCTGGGGCTGCGGAGCCAGAAGAGAGGGTCCTCAGGGTGCTTAGCAGGGCTACCAGTGAGCTGTGGGGGCTGGTTTCCCAGCCAGCGGGCAGGAGACCGCTCTGCCAGGGGGGCAGGGAGTGCCAGGGAAGGAGCTGCAGTGTGCTTAGAAGGGACCTAGCAGGGAGGTGTCCCCAAGATCTCTCCCCCAAACCTGATTTGGTTAAAGGCTCTAAGCCACTCAGCAGCCAGCTGGGGTGGGCCATAGGGGCAACAGGTCTTATCCACCCTGGGACCTGTAGCTAGATATGGGCAGGAGGGAGTCTAATATGGGCATCAGGAGTCTGGGGGGCAACTCCCCCACCCCTCTCTGTGCCTCAGTTTCCCCCACTGTAACATGGGGCTGACAGTCCAGGGCTGGGAGGTCTAATCAGCGGGCAGGTGAGGACCCTGGTGCAGCACCCACAGTGAGCAACTCCCAGCCTCAGTGCAGGTGCAGCCCAGGATTGGTGCGCCGCGCATCCAAGGCCCAAGTGAGCCTGGTGCGGGGTGGTGGGGAGTAGGAGCTGGCAGCTCCGTGACCTGCTGCCGCAGAAGGTGCTTGCTATTTTGAGGCGGGCATCACATTTCAAGGCTCTGGTTACACACTGACCAGCCACCTCCCCAACCCCCGCTGGGATTCGGTTTCCCTGGCTTCTGAGCCCCGGCCCAAAAGGTCACTGAGGGATTCCAAGGAGCTTTTTCAGACGCAGGCAGACGGAGTCACATGACCCAGCCTGAGAGATGTGAGGCAGCTCCTCAGGGGGCGCCCCACAACGGCCCCTGCTGGGAGAGGCCAGGGCTGGAGTAGCTAGAAGCTTCCCACACAACCAGCGCCCTGCCCTGCATCCACAGCGCCCCCTGCTGGGACAGGCTGGGGCTGGAGTGGCTGGAAGCTCCCCCCACAACCAGCGCCCTGCCCCGCATCCACAGCGCCCCCTGCTGGGACAGGCTGGGGCTGGAGTGGCTGGAAGCTCCCCCCACAACCAGCGCCCTGCCCCGCATCCACAGCGCCCCCTGCTGGGACAGGCTGGGGCTGGAGTGGCAAGGGGGCTCCCCCCACAACCAGCGCCCTGCCCCACATCCACAGCGCCCCCTGCTGGGACAGGCTGGGGCTGGAGTGGCTGGAAGCTTCCCACACAACCAGCGCCCTGCCCCGCATCCACAGCGCCCCCTGCTGGGACAGGCTGGGGCTGGAGTGGCTGGAAGCTCCCCCCACAACCAGCGCCCTGCCCCGCATCCACAGCGCCCCCTGCTGGGACAGGCTGGGGCTGGATTGGCAAGGGGGCTCCCCCCACAGCTGGCACTGCTATCCCACTGGCTGTGTTTCTGCCTCCGCCAGCAGGAGGCGCTGTAAGCTTGTCGCTCTGCAGTGGGAAAGGGCCTGGTGTCTCTGCGCTGGGGCAGTCGCAGTGGGCAGCAAGGGAGGCAGCAGGAGCCACAGGCTGTCTGACCCCCGCCTGCTCTCCCCACAGGGATGTCCGACGCCGCCATCATGGAACTGAACCTGCCAACCGGGATCCCCATTGTGTACGAACTGGACGAGAGCCTGAAGCCCACCAAGCCCATGCAGTTCCTGGGCGACGAGGAGACCGTGCGCAAGGCCATGGAGGCTGTGGCGGCTCAGGGCAAGGTCCAGAAGTGAGGGGGAGGGAGAGCAGCCAGGGCAATAAACCCATGAAACCCGCCTGAGTGAGTGCAATGTGGGCGAGGGGGTCCCCGGGGCCGGGCACAGCCTGGGGGGACCTAGCCCAGTGAGAGAGGGGCTTAGTGCCACATACAGCCTGGATGATCCAGCCTGGGGAATGGGGCCCTCGGGGCCTGGCACAGCCTGGGGAATGGGGTCCTCGGGGCCTGGCACAGCCTAGAGGGGTATGTAGCCCAGTTGCAGGGGGCTGGGGCCTGGCACAGCCTGGGCGGGTATATAGCCCAGTGGCAGGGGGCTGGGGCCTGGCACAGCCTGGGGAGTTCTGTAACCCAGTGGTGGGGGGCTGGGGCCTGGCACATCCTGGGGGATATGTAGCTCGGGGCGGAGAGAGGGCTCAAGACCACCTGCCCAGGTGATCCAGCCTGGGCGGGACCTCACTTGACACAGTCTGGGGCCCTCGCCCAGTGGAGAGGGAAAGTTTGGTGCTTGGCACCCCTGGGGCCTGGCAAAACTTCGTGGCTGTGGAGGAGGATCCGGTGTGCTGGGGGAGGGCAGCTTGGGGGTCTCCCTCCCAGTCGGAGGGAGACATAGGGCTGGCCCTGAGGCCCATTGGTGTGGGGGCTCCGTGTGGCCAGGGAGGGGTTACAAAGCCCCAAGGCAGCCCCAACCTGTAGCAGGGGACTAAGTGCCCTTCCCTGGCAGGTCCCCTCTGGGCTCCAAGCAGGGTGTGAGAGTGGCTCTGGGACAAGCAGGGAGCCCCCGGGTGTGGTATGAACAGGGGGCCTGGTACCGCCTGACCTTGAGGTGAGTCATTGTTCCTGGAGAGGGAGGCTGAACCCTACTGCCTGGGCCTGGAGCAGGGATCTAGAAACCTTCTCCATAGGCCGCTGGGCAGGTTTGAATCCTGGGCCTTCAGCACCAAAGCACAGGCTGCTGCCTCTGAGCTGAAGGAACAACCCTATTAGCCAGCACATTCATAGGCTCTTTTCCATGGACCAGCCACTATAGGGGGCTGCCGCACACTAGAAAAGCATCCCTCAGGGTGCACCCAGTATTTGCCCAAGGAAGGGCCCAGGGAGAGGTGCCAGGCCCAGGGCAGAGAAGATGGTAGGGCGCATGGTGCCACGTGGGCACAGCACAGCTTGGTGCATAGGACACAGAGGGCAGAGCCAGCCACAGACAGGCTTGTAGGGCTGCAGCCTGGGATGGATGCGCTGGGAGGTGCCGAGGCCGGGGCCCTGCTGCCAGGAGAGTGCAGGGATTGGTACCTTGCAGCCTGGTGGGTCTGCAGCACCCCTGCTCTCCATGGAAACACTGGCATCCAGCTGCAGCCCCCTGTGCTGCTTCCCCACCTGGGTCAGGGGGGTTGGGGAAGGATGGACCCCCTAGCCTTTACCTCCTGGGTGGAGGGCAGGTCCCTGCCCATGGGGCTGCTGTCTCAGGCATGGTCAGCAGGTGAGGCCATGCTCCGTGAGCTGCTCACCAGAGCCCCTCCCCACCCCGGCTGCCACACACACAATGTCCCATTTGCCCCAGGCTAGAACACCCCAGTCCTGTTGCTAGGGTGACCAGATAGCAAGTGTAAAAAATTGGGACAAGGGGTGGGGGGTAATAGATACCTGTAAAAGAAAAAGCCCCTAATATTAGGACTGTCCCTATAAAACTGGGACATCTGGTCACCCTACCTGCTGCAGCAATGCTGCAGGAAAGTCACTGTCAGAACAAATCTTTTGCTTCAGTGTCTATTGCAATGAGCTGGGTAGTGTCTGCGACCCCACTATCCTCTAGAAGATGGATGCGGACTCACCAAGCTGTGTGTCACTGACCCTGTATTGCTAACAACTCCTGGGCCTCCTCCTTAAGCTCAGGTACAAGGACCTGGGCTTGTGGAGTTGGGATCTATCGCCGCTGTCCACCCATCTAGCCATCTATACATCCTTATCTCCTCCCCGCTGGTAGGCAAATACCCCAGCTCTGGGCTTGCTGCCACCCTGTTGCTCCAGCTGGGGGTTTGCGTGTCTCCTAGTTGTATCCTCTGGCAACGGGGTAGAGGGTCATGCTAGATCTCATAGCAACCTTCTCTGAGTGCCCCTCACAGGGCATCCACCACCCCGTGGCACCAGGAGAAATAAGCACAGACTGCCACCTCCCCACATGGCTGTCTGTTTCTGTCTGTTTCCTTCCTCCTCTTTACCGGGGGGCAGGGAGTTGTATGGACCTGTGGTCCCTGGGCTCCAGGAATATTCGGGGCCTGGGACCTGGCTCCACAAATGTTTGGGGCCAGGTCTCTCCCCCGGCCCTGCCTGCTGCCCCCACACACTTCCCCCAGAGTGTTCCCCGGCCCCGCCTGCAGCCCCTGCGTGATTTAAAAGGGCCCAGGGCCCCCACCACCACCACCAGCAGCAGCACACTGTGGCTAAAGCAGCTTCCTGCCCGCCTTCGCTCCACACAGCGCAGCTGGCATATCCCTGTGGCTCCCTTGGAGGAGGGTGTCTCTGCACGCGGCCCCCACCCCAAGTGCCAACTCTGCCATTGGCACTACAGCCAATGGGAGCAACTGGGGCTGTGCCTACAGGAAGCGGGGTGCAAAGGCTGCAACCTCTGCCTAGGAACCACTGCCAGAGGGGTGTGTAGGTCGCTTTCGGGAGCCGCCCGAGGTAAGTGCCTCACCCCATCCTACACCCCAACCCCCTGCCCCAGCCAGAGCCCGCATCCCACACCCAGATGGGGAAATCCGCTTTTGTGTGCACTACCATAAGCTAAATGCCATAACTTGCCTAGAAAACTATCCAATGCCATGCACAGGTGAGCTACTGGAGAAACTGGGACGTGCCCAATTAATCTCCACCACTTAACTTGGTGCCAGTTAAGTCTAAACTTAACTAAGGGGTACTGGCAAGTGCTGCTAGATGACCCCACCAAAGAAAGGTCAGCCTTCATCACCCATGTAGGGCTGTACGAATTTAATGTGCTCCCTTTCACACTGCAAAATGCACCCCCCACCTTCCAGAGACTGGTAGATAACCTAGAAGGATTTGGGGAATTTCCAGTCGCCTACTTTGACGATGTGGCTGTATTCTCAGATTCATGGGCAGAACACCTGGAATACCTCCAAGCTGTATTCCAGCACATAACGGTTAATCCTGCTTCCCTTAAGGCCAAAAAGTGTCAAATAGGCCTAAACGGGGTAATGTACCCTGGACACCAGGTGGGTCAAGGAACTATCAACCCCCTACAGGCTAAGGTAAATGCTATCCAAAATTGGCCTGTCCCTAAATCAAAGAAGCAGGTCCAATCCTTCTTGGGCTTGGCCAGGTATTACCGACGATTTGTACCACACTACAGCCAAATTGCCACCCCATTGACAGACATGACCAGGAAACAACAGCCAAATGCCTTTCAGTGGACTGAGAAGTGTCAAAAAGCCTTTAACAAGCTTAAGGCAGCCCTTACATCTGACCCTGTACTGAGGGCCCCGGACTTCAACCTACCGTTCGTTGAAAACACAGATGTGTCCGAGCATGGTATAGGAGCAGTTTTAATACAGGAAGGACCAGATCAGAAATTCCATCCTGTCGTGTCTCTCAGCAAAAAAACTTTCTGAGAGAGAAAGCCACTGATCAGTCTCAGAAAAAGAATGTTACCCCATTGTGTATGCTCTGGAGAAGCTACACCCATACATCCACCTGCAGACTGACCATGCTGCACTGAAGTGGCTTCACACAGTCAAAGAGACCGCAGGGATTTTAAAAATTAATACTTGCCACTCCAGGCTTGTATTAACTCCCAAGGTTACAGCTTTTCTCTGACCTTGGCTTGGTAAACACTGCCACCACCCAAGTGCAAAAACCCCCTTGAACCCAGGAAGGAGCACGTGGGAATTCCTCCCTGTGGGGTACCCTCATAGGCACAAACCTCTTAGGACACCAAAAATCCAATCCTGTTCTTAAAAAAAGTAAATTTTATTAAAAACAAAAAGGAAGAAAATACATCTGGAACTTGGGCTTTTGCTAGATTTTAAAGGAACAATTCAAAAATTGCTTTTTTGAAATAGCTTTCATGCTTTGAGCAGGGGGTTGGACTAGATGACCTCCTGAGGTCCCTTCCAACCCTGATATTCTATGATTCTTGGGGGTTCAGCTTAAAGGTTACAAGCAAACAAAAGCACCTGTGGTTAGCACAGAGGAGATACACAAGCCAAAATAAAGAAATAAACCTGATAGCATCAACTAAACATTCTCTGTCCCAATGATTCCTTCTAGGTATGGAAGATAATTTTTCATACCTTACACAGCATTGCATTGCTGCTCCATGTCCCTGCAGCCCAGAGAGAACAACAGAAAAAGGGAAAGTTTCTTTCCCAATTTTAAAAAGTTCTACCTTCTCATTAGTCTCTAAGGTGCCACAAGTACTCCTGTTCTTTTTACCTTCCCATTGGCTCTTTTGGTCAGGTGCTCACTTCCTTTTCTTTACCTGGGGGCCTTTTTACCCTTTACAGGTAAAGCAAGCAGAGAACAGCTACCAAGAGGAATTTTACAGCTAACTGGCAGGCTGGGTGTCCCCCCCGCCACCTTCATTTATCACACATGGCCACGCTGACTCTGATCCCAGGGACCACGTAGCCCCAGGCATGGCTGGATATCACCGTACTCCCATCCTCCTGCTCCATCCCCTCCTTCCACACACAACCCCCCCCCCCCCCAGACCAGCCTCCCACTGTTTGTGCCCCGGCTGCCTCTAAACCCCTCCTTAAAACCTGTGCCCCTGTATAATCATAGAATCATAGAATATCAGGGTTGGAAGAGCCCTCAGGAGGTCATCTAGTCCAATCCCCTGCTCAAAGCAGGACCAACACCAACTAAATCATCCTAGCCAAGGCTTTGTCAAGCCAGGCCTTAAAAACCCAGGGGGGAGGGATAGCTCAGTGGTTTGAGTATTGGCCTGCTAAATCCAGGGTTGTGAGATCAATCCTTAAAGAGGCCATTTAGGGATCTGGGGCAAAAATTGGGGGATTGGTCCTGCTTTGAGCAGGGGGTTGG